CTCTGTGTTTCTCTTTGGAAATATTAAAATAATAATGATAAAATTAAATGAAATAATTATTTTTAAATAGTATATATTAAAATAGGGATGTCATAACGGTTATGTCTCTGGACTCCCACATAACCGACCATGGTTAGAGTCCCACACCCTGTGGCTTCAAACTCACACCAGGGACGTGTGTGCGTGCGTGCCCAAAATCCCAAGAGGAAAAAGGAGAAGGGATTGCAGTGTGGCCACCCTCCTGGGGAGTGATTTCTTGCCCTCTGTCTCTGTCTCTCTGTGTCTCTGTCTCTATCTCTCCAGCAAGTACACGCAGCCTCTAGCAAAAGTCTCTCAAAAAAATAATAATATTAAATTAAAATAAATAAAGTGAAAGTTACAGTTTGTACCACTGTGTTACATTAGAGACCACAGCACAGCTAACCCGCTCTCCGAGCTGAGGTGGGACTGTGCCCCATACTGACCATCTGCAGACTCAGCTCTGCGTGTGTATTGGCCTCATTCTTGTTCCAACAAAACGATGCCAGGATGTAAAAAACTAAACTTAAATTAAAAAGAAAAATAATGCCCAGAGTTTATTGTCCTCTGCTCCAGGGGGTATTTTCCCTGATACAGAGTCTTAAGTGAAGGATATTGTTTGAAAAATCAAGGATTCTTTGTGAAACTGTTGAGTAATTTCTTATGTTACTTTTCTCCCGTGTCCTGTGGGAGGATGTCCTCACTGCCTGCATTATATGGGTGAGGACATTAGTCACAGGAAGCCGGGGTGTCCCTGGCCCCACCGCAGCCCCAAGGCTCACTCCAGCTCAGCCTCTCTCTCCGCCTGTGTATTTTCTGTTTAGAATTAAATGCTGAATTCAGTTCTCCAAAAGGGTTAGAAGGGCCAGCAGCATTGCCTTCCAGATTGTTCTGCGTGCTGGGTTCCTGACTAGGACTCTAGACGCAGCAAGCACCCACGTTCGTGCTGGGGGAGGGAGAGTGATCCCATAGACCCTAGTGACCCTGGAGGCCCCGGGGCTCTGGGGCCGATGGGGCTCCTGCTTTGCTCCTGCCTCAGCCTTCTCGGTAATGACACCCCGCGTAACAGCCCCAGGGAGTCCGTGTCCTTCGAGAAGCAGACCGCGAGGTTCAGGGAGGGGAAGTGGGCCGCGGGTCGCACTCGAGTGTTCTCAGTCCCTGTTTCTTGTTCACATTCTCGTTTCCTCAGCTCATCAGCATCGGCTCTTCCTATAACTATGGAAATGAGGACCAGGCAGAATTCCTCTGCGTCGTCTCCAGAGAGCTAAATAATTCTACCAACGGCATCGTCATCGAGCCGAGCGAGAAGGCAAAGGTAGGCAGGCGGGCCCCGGGCAGCCGGGGACTCCGTGTCCTTGCCTCAGCCCTGGCTCCTTGCCCGCCCCCGCCCTTCTCAAGCCAGCCTGGCCCCCCTTTCCCCTTCCCCTGTTCCGTTGGCCGTTGTCAGCGTTTGTGGAGTGGCGACGGGTTCCAGCTAGGAAACTTGAGCCTGGAAAGAGGACACTTTGCCCAGCCTCTGTCAAGTCAGTGAAAAGGGGACACTCACTGCTGATACAAGGTGGGGCTTCTGAGCTCAACGTCAGGGGGTATTTTGCCTTCATTTTTTGAAAATGTTTTTCTTTTGCTGTCAAGAGGCAGGGTATTTTCTTCCCTTTATGACTTTTGTCCCTCAGTTCCCGGAGACCTGCTCTGCACTGTTGCCTTCTTTCCCTCTGCTGGACACCTCCCACCACACACATGCACACACATGCACGCACACGCTCGCCTGAATCACCCATGTAGAGCTTCAGTCTGGGCTAGACCTGTCCAGGGCCCGTACCCCGCAGGCCCCACCATGCCCAGCGGGAGGGTCTGCTCCGGTGGACGTGCTTCCGGTGAGGCTGAGTGCCGCTCTGGCCTTGCTTGCTGGGATCACGGGGGCCACTGTCCTGCTCCCTGAGGCCCAGTGCAGGCAGCTCTGCGTCCCGTCTTTTCCCAGCAGCCTGCTCGTCAACCTCAGCCTTCTCCCCTTCCTTACCTTCAGATTCTTCAGGAGAGAGGATCTCGGATGTAGATCAAGAATCTGGAACTCCAGAGCCTGAAGGTCGAGAGTGCGACCCTGCCGAGCGCCTCTGTGAAGTGCAGCCACGCTCCTGTACAGTGACCAAGCGCTGCAAAGCCCCGCTGAGCCTGGCCCCCACTGGAGAGGTGTTCTGGGCAGAGCCAAGGATCCCCCACCCCAGGACTCCAAGGACAGAGGCAGCCACTGGCTGCAGACACCTTTCCAGAAACCCGCTTTGTTTTCACAGCCGATCTTTACTAGAGCAGCTGGGCTGGGTTTCCCGTTGGAGCCTTTTAGGGATCTGGGGAAGGAGAGAGGAAGGCCTCGCTCCTTGGAACAACCTGGACTTCAGGGAAGCTGGAGCCGAGGAAGGAGGAGCGTCCTGAGCTGTGCCATGTCGGGCGTGAGCAGCTGCTTCGGAACACTGTCCCCTCCTGCACACCCTCAAGTTCACGCAACAGATGCAAAGGGTCCTAGCTTCAGCTTGTGGCACTGAGGCTTGGGAAAGGAGTAGAGTTGCCGGAATACCCACATTCCTGGGAGCAGAGCTCTCTGAGGAAAGGAGGATGGGGTGTCCTTCGTGATTGGAGTTTGGCGAGCGCGGCTCCTGACTCGGGGCACGTAGCTCACCTCACACAGCTTGGCCTCGCTGGTGTCCAGTGGCTGGGACCCTCCACACAGCTTGCTTTCTCCCTAGGAGGAGATGTGACGTGGGGGGCATCCTGCCCCACGTGATCGGTCAGATGGACAGATGGGAGCTTTAGATGTTCTAACTGCTTCTGCAGCCTTTTCTTACCACCCGCTGGTCCCGTCTTCCTTCCCTGGCTTTGTAAGCGGGACCAAAGATAAAGGGACATTGTGGACCCTCTGGTGGCTTGGGGTGGAGAAAGCTGTTTGAAAGTTGCCAAATGTATAATGTTGTATCTAAAGAGTTATTATTGTCTCTTGACACGCCTTGACTGAACGTGCAATATCTGTGTCTCTTGGTCTGACCCTGGTGCCCCTGCCCCACAGTGGAGCCATGCACCTCCGGGTAGTGTGTGCGCATCTGCCTCTCCCCCCTTTGGACTGCCCCGACTGGGGCCCACCCTACACGTATTTGACCGACGCTCAGCAGCGCCCCCTCATGCTACTCACGCGGCTCAGTGAGCAGTCACGGCTGCAGAGGGGCCAGACTCCGTTTTGCCTGGATAAGTCCCATGGTGTGGCGAAGGGTACCGAGAAGAGAGCACTCAGCTTTCGTCCCTGGAGCTGGGCGCTTCTGGGTGCTCCAGCCGAGGTCTCTGCCTCCCCAGTGGTTCCAGGGAGGTGATTCTGGGAGTGACTAGACGCTAACACATCTGAGTGTAGGGCCCTGGCGGCTTACCTTTTCCCTAGTCTCTCATTGTCTCTGTCTCTCTGGAGTAGCCTGAAGGCGTGTGCGGAGTCTCTGCTGCTGCGTTGTGGCTGGCCGCCGCGGGCAACGGCCACCCTGGGGCGCTGAGCCC